AGTTCTATTACTTTCTACAAAACATTCTTTACAGGGCATGAAGGGGTGCAACCACCCGGCGTTGGATAAGGGGCATCGTTGCGTAACTCCGAGCTAGTCACGTGACATCATATTCTGTGGGCCTACTGGCTGTCAGCGTGCGATTCTTTGATCACTGCGAGGGTTTGGAATCGATACTTCTTAGTCTCATGGCACGACAATGACAGGAGGATTGAAATGTAATCGGGAGCATAAAAATATATAGAAAAATTGAAGCTATGATCTCGATGCAAAAAAAGATGTCTTAAAGACGATGCATCTTGGGTGTTATGTGTATGGGACTGGAAGCAAAGCCCAAACCAATGCTCAGTGGGTGAGCCAAAATTGGGCAAACGTCGAACTAAGAGTGTCCATGTGCAGTCTACGATTTGAATTGTAATGGCTCGCAAGGACAGCACATGGACCATTTACATTCCTAATAATTTGACGCGCCGGAGAGAGCGCACGCCCTCGTTTGCACCAAAAAAAAAAGAACCCCCCAACCCCTGACCGTGAATAATAATTATTATATTATTCATAGTCTTTATCTACAAAGGCCACCACTAAGTACAGAGGGCCATTAGAAATTAGACGGAGCCATCTCTTCCCTTCCGCCTTGACTCGGCGACATCGCAGCGGCTTGCGAGAATGCGCCGGAGCTTAGCGTGCAGCCGCCCTTGTTAAAAGTGGAGACCGTGCAGATCACTAAAAATAGCTTCCCCCGGCCCAGACCCCGCTGCCGCCTTTGCATGGCAAGACTGCCGTGGTGAATCTAGGTCGAACACACTCGCCCGGTTTGCGTGAACAAGGAGTCTGGTTCTAAGTGGTCATGGGCTTGCGGCACGAGGGATACCTCTAGTGGGGTGCCGCATTGTGATGTTTGGTAAATTTGCGCAGAAATAATTCAGGAGCAAAACAAGTGGTACAATTTAGTTGCACTCTGATTGTGTGCGATGAACTCAATGTGGGTGGAGTCAGAGGCTGAATGATGGACAGGTGAAAGGGATGAGGGTGTTAGGAATTGAGTCACAAGGGGACAGTGGAGCTAATTTAGACAATTGGTTAAGACGGCGGGGTCAGTCAGCACGAAGGGGTCAGCCAGGACGGCGGGGTCAGCGAGCACGGCGGGGTCAGTCAGCACGGCGAGTTCAGCGAGCACGGCGGGGTCAGTCAGCACGGCGGGGTCAGTCAGCACGGCGGGGTCAGTCAGCACGGCGGGGTCAGTCAGCACGGCGGGGTCAGCCAGCACGACGGGGTCAGCCAGCACGACGGAGTCAGTCAGCACGACGGGGTCAGTCAGCACGGCGGGGTCAGTCAGCACGGCGGGGTCAGTCAGCACAGCGGGGTCAGTCAGCACGACGGGGTCAGTCAGCACGGCGGGGTCAGTCAGCACGGCGGGGTCAGTCAGCACGGCGGGGTCAGTCAGGGCGGCGGGGTCAGTCAGCATGACGAGGTCAGTCAGTACGATGGGGTCAGTCAGCACGACGGGGTCAGTCAGCACGGCGGGGTCAGGTCAGCACGGCGGGGTCAGTCAGGGCGGCGGGGTCAGTCAGCATGACGAGGTCAGTCAGTACGATGGGGTCAATCAGCACGACGGGGTCAGTCAGCACGGCGGGGTCAGTCAGGACGGCGGGGTCAGTCAGCACGGCGGGGTCAGTCAGCATGGCGGGGTGAGTTGAGGCAGTGAAGGCAAGTGGAAGGAGGGATGGAGGATGAGGAAGCAAAGTGCACGGAGCAGTGAGCAAATAGTGTTATATACGCATGAGGACGTATGCACAAGTTATTAATGGCATTATATTGTTTGCAAAATATCGTGACAGTTTTTGGATATTTTAAATATTTGTTTTACTGACACGCACATATCATTAACAAATATTACAGTTAGCAGTTCGAATCCAGCCGTTACATATGAACGTGACTGGGTGTCTCAAATCGTTTGTGGACGACTCTTGACTTTCACATCCGGCATGCCCTCATGGTGGAGGGGGGGGGGGGCCCTTCTGACGCGAATCAAAAGAGGTTGAATTCAACCCACAGTGGACCTCGCGCAAGCAAAGTCCACCAGAAAACAACGGTGCAGAAGTCCTCATTGGTTCACGTCAGTAAAGCGACACGTTCCGATGAGAAACACTGCCCCCGAGTGTTGTATTTATTGCTCGCAATGGGCTGAGACAGCACATGACAATTTCGTCCTAATTGGATGTTTATGCATGTACGTGGCAATAAAGCAGAGCACGAAGAGAAAATCCAATGTCAGCAGCCTACTTGCTGTGCACTACATTCCATCTTGATGATCACCGCTCTGCCGCCCCTCCGCCCTCATCTCCCTTCCTCGGGCCACGTGTCTTATTTGCATAACGTCGTTTCGTACGATCCACCAATCACGTCGGACGTAAGTACTAAGGATAACGGACGCTGACGTGGTCGACTCCAGATCGGCAAGAAAAGGTTTAACACACGCCATCTCTTGTCCCCCGACGGCGATACACAGGCTCCGTTTTCCGCCCTCCAACAGATTTACATTTCACCGATGTTACTATCAGTTCGGAAAGTGCACGGCAGTAATGGAGAGACTTTTTTTTTATTTCAGCAGATGAAGGAAGTTCCCTGTGTGAAAAATAAGAGGCTATCCACGGAGGTCAGCGCGGCCGTTAAAGCTTGTGTTCCAGCAAAAAAAAAAAAACAGGCCTGGAGCGATTTTGATGAGAAAAAATAGTTTTGGCAAAAAAAAAAGTGGTTTTGTGGAAAGCTATTACTCTGCGCAAAATGGAATACGTTAAGGCGGCCGCTGTCTGATAGACAACTTTATGAACCGGGTCAAAAACTATCTAAATTTTTCACAAAATCACCAAAAAGGTTAGAGGCGATGTCGGTTGTAAAATGATGGGGTTATTTTACGACAAGTGTATATATATATCCACATTCGCTCTCCTTTGTTGTTGCTAAAACAAAGCCTATTTAGCAAGCGTTCAAAACTGCCAGAATTATAGTAAAAATACTCAACTTAAAAATGATTAAATTGGGAAATTATTAACAATACCAGCTGTGCTTTTATGTAGCGATCAAGCAGGGTAGTGCAGGGCTCTGGAATAGGAAGTTTTCAAGTTCAAACCTCGGTGGTAATCCAATCAACCCTCCATGATGCCTCTGGGGTGCATACAATTAATACCACATTGAGAGATGCCAACAACTAATACCTTATGAAGTGACTTGGCCTCACCATAACAATGTGGACTTTCCACCCGATGCCCCATGGCTGTAAACACAAGATACAGAGGGTGTAGACTGACAAAGGGCTGGTACATTATATTTATTACGGATGTAGTGACATCGGCACCACACAGTGACATCTCAGATGTCACTGTGTGGTGCCGGCCCTAGAGAGGCACGGCGTGCGATGTACTCACATCGCAGACATCACACATGTAGCGACATCGTAAATAACGCCGGCTCTAGCGAGGCACGGCGTGCGATGCATTGTCATCGCGGACACCCCGTAGGTGGGTGTAGTACCAGCCCTAGAGGGGGCTCGGTGAGCACTGGGTCATAGCGCTCAGTGGCACCACGCGTGGCGTGCAGTGCCGACTCCTACAGGAGGGAGTGTGAGAGTGTCAGCCATGGGATGAGGTTACTCGAGGCCATGGCACTCTGGTTGACCCTAGAAGGCACGTGACCAGTAAGATCTACACAGGGGCCCCAGGTGGGAGCTAGGGGATGGTCACAGGGTGAGATCCTACGGGAAGGGTCGAGAAACGACGAGAGGTTTCTCGAAGGTGGTCGTGGCCAAGGGCGGGCCAGCCACGACCCGGGAGCATATAAACCGGGTCTCCACAGGGACCGGGGTTCCAGCGTTGCTGTTGTCATCTGAAGATCTACGATCTACGTCCAAGAAGAAGTAACCAACATGTGGACAAGGACCCAAGCCAGGGTCCTGTCCGTTGTAGCTACTCCCAGTAGCTAGCGTAGTTAGCCAGGTGGTCCACCACCTTAGGTTATCTGGTAAAGGGGCAGTAACCCCTTTGTGTTAATGTGTTGGTGTTAATAAATATGTGTTGCCTCCAAAGAGTATGTCTGCGACTCAGTTGAATCCACTACGCGTATAATACAGTTGAGGATTCCACTGCTGCGGTGTAACGGTTAGCACACTGGACTATCTAGAGGTCGTAGGTTTGTTCTCCTGGCACGGTAACAGAAACATCGGTCCAAGTCTCTGAAATTCTCCTGCCTCTGTCCGCCCAACAATATAAATGGGTTCACCACAACTGATTGGCAGGTTACGTGTGTTGGGGTACAGTGTGGGTACCCCGACCCCTTCAATAAGTCTGGCTAATCTGGAACAGTATGCCAATTACCCTCTACTGGAGGGGCTCCTTCTAGTTGAGGCCCTTCTGCTCGGAGTGGCATGAGCAAGCAAATTGCAAGGCTGCACCTTGACCTGTACCCTTACCCACCTACCTACTGAGCTCAAACAAAGGTCGGACGAAGGCAAGGTGAGGCCAGTTCAACAATCAGTGTCGGGCAGTCACACAGGCTCGCTGCTGGCTGGATGAGCCACATCACACAAATATAATCTCTGCGTGATCCACCTGCCTGGCTTCCTAGTCACTGGACCACGGCCATGCATCACAGCCGCCATCGCCACCGCCACCACGACCGCCAAAGACAAAAATCCCCCCGTATAGCCTTAACAGCCTGTTGGGGCAAGTGTTGTTAGCGAGCACCTACGAAGGCCGGCACGGCACACGAGGGGCTGGGTGGCCAAAACCACGCCATTGTCCCCCTAGTGGTGATGTTTACACACCTTACCAGGTACTCATTTAGGGCTGAGTCGACCTAGGGCAGGCCAAGAACCGGTTCAAATAATCGTCACCGGTGTTAACCGTGATGCGGGAATCAAACTCCAGGTCGCTGGGTTTCGTAGCGCAGCGCGCTAGCCGCTACACTACCACCACCACCACCACCACTGCCGCCGACGGGCTCACCTCCGCCGAGTCCGCGTACACCAGCACGTGCGCCGGGTTGTCTCGCGGTCCCCCGAGCAGCGCCGCCGTGACGTCGCGCCCGCGGCCAAACGTGGGATCGGAACGCCCCCCGCTGGGGTCTGCGGCCTGGGCGGAGGGATCCCACGCCGACCAGCGCACGGTGCGCATGAAGACGGACGAACGCACCAACGCGGTCGAGGACGTCGTCTGGGGACGGAGACAAAACACGTGGGGAGGGGAGGGGGGGTTATTTCACCATACTTCACCATGCGCACTTCAGTTGGCGGTTGACGTTCAAAGTGGACTGCGACCCTCAAAGGAATGGCGCCGACCCCCTTGGTCTGTGCCCCCCACCCCATCCGCCCCCCCCGTGAAACAAATTACTCGAGAGCCGCCGGTGTATGGCAGCAAGAGCAGTTGACGCGAATGCTGTCGCAAGAGGTCCCACCGTTTTTGGCGCAACGGTCCTTTGCCGACTGTGCGTGATCCATGAATCACCATGCCGGTCAGTGGGGATTTGGGAAGGCGCGGGGGAGCGCAGACATGGGAGCACGGTGCAGTACAACAATGGATGTTGCTACGCCGCCCTCTGCCGCCCACAGCGGAGCTCTGGGGGGGCAGGCTGTGACACGCGTTCTGCGCATGTTCGCCGATGACAAAATCGCCGGCAATGCGCTCGACATGGTTAGGTCTCGGAGGCCGAACAGATTTGAACCCGGCTAGTAGTGCTTGGAGGACTAAAACATAAGTCGCACTGTTTGTCACGGGGGTGGCAGGGCTAGGATTCTTAAAACGGTGAATCTAGACGGGAGCTTTCCGATTACATTCTAAGTGCCATAGGTTTATAACCCTTATCGGCTTAAAGCTTTCGTGACTGCAGGGATTCATCTTTTTGGTTCTTTCGGTAAAGTCACGTAGAAGGGAAGTAATAAAATAATAAAAATAAAACATTATAAAATAATACAATAATATAATAAAATAATATAATTATTTTATTATGTTTTATTTTTATTATTTGATTACTTCCCTTCTACGTGACTTTACCGAAAGAACCAAGAAGATGAACCCTTATCGGCATCCAGCAAAAGGCTGTGTAATGGAAGGGCTGGCTTTGGCCACAAAGGCATGGTCAGTTTTAAGAGCATTTTAAAAAAAGCCACGGGTGTTTGGTCGTGGCTGTTATGCATCTGTAGACTTCATTATTTAAAACATTGATTGTACTCCGCCCGGGAAATGTTATAGTCTTGTCCACACCCACCCACGCAACCCAATTAAGACATTACCTCTCACTTCTCACCGTGACCAAAGTTTGCTCCAACATTAAGACCTTACCTTGGCCCGCAGTGAAACCATTTAAGCCCCCGTGACTTTCACTTAAGGCACAAATTGCAACAACAAAAAAATCCACACCACACAGTGACCATGCGCACACACATACACACGACAAAGCATTTTTTGTTGAAATGGAAATGTTAAACTCTTCAAATTAAATTTCAGGAAGCGCGCGTCCAATCACGCCACGTCCGCACATGGTTAAGGGGCAGATGAATGGAAGATTTGCACTTCCGTAAGTACACAGATATTAAAGTCTTTGCAACTGCTCGTAGTATCTCTTTGATCGACAGTGCTGGCATCAAGGACACAACCACGCATTTCGGATTCCGAGGACAGCTACGCATGATGAATAATAACAATGATTACAGCTCCCCACCCTCCCCTCCCCATATAAGCTTTCTTGTTCTCTGTCTTGCGGTCCCCACGTGGGTGGAGCAGAGAGCCCGATTCTCCCCCTTCATTAAGCCCTGGCGCAGAGTTTCTGTTCACCCCCTGTACTGCGATCGGTGCTTTGTACTGGGCTTGCCTTGCAATGAAAACACCATAAAAAATAATTGACAGCCCTTTGTTCACTGCTGATTGAAGTCTTCCCCACGTGTCTCCACCACGAGGGTTGTTTGACCATACTTCACAACGAATTGGTGCACAGTGGTTCGCACGCCATGCTATGCACCCGGCAATCTAAATCCATCAAGGAAGGCCTTCTTTGAATAGCAGTGGATTGACAAACGGGTGCAGGTTCACATGTATATATATGAAATCAATGTACAGCCTTTTTGTCAATCCACTGCTGAATGAGTGCCTCCCTACGACACGTCAGTCAGGGTTTGTTACTTGACCATACTTCACCACGCTGCTTGGAGCAGGTTGGCAAAAGGGGGGCCCAGGAGCGATTCAGACATCAACTTGCCACTGACCGAACTCGGAATCACACTCAGGACATCAGGCTCATGGCACCTACGCTCCCCCCTCCCATCAAGCCTATGTAAAGCAACCTAAAAATAAGTGCGAAAAAACATTTCTACGAATATATTAACAAAACAATATAAAACCTGAAGTCACCGAACAGGCTAAGGGCACACGTGATCACTCTGTGGCCTTACCTTTAACGGCTGACGTCATCAAACAAACGCCGCGATTTAAATCGCACTCAAAAAACACAGCACTGCGAGAAACGGGCAGTCGTGGTGGCTGGCCAGTGACCACAAGTAAACCCCAAAATCCTTGAGTTGATGATCCACCTACCCCCAATCAACCCAAAATGCTGCGGACCTTGTGCCAGACCACTAAAATATATTTGAGTCGTACAGTGGAGAAGTGGAAAGCACTTACTGGACAGCCGGCCGTTCAATAATCTGCAACTTAACAGAATCCATATTTGATTACAAACCTGTCCATGTGCAAAGCAGGACTGTGTGCGATTGCACTATGAATCCCATCCAACTGAGATGCAAAGTTTTATTAATGACATTATTATTGATTTGTAAAATCAATTCAGGGCAATCCTTCTTTCAGAGTAAATTAAATTTTTTTAGTATGGAAATCAAACTGGGAATAAAATTATTCGTGTTCAATCGATGCGGTGTAATGTTGCACGAGGTTCCATTAAAACTTATTTAACAACGACGGATATCAATCACCAACCCTCACACCCCCTTTAAAAACCTCACTTATTCACTCATCGTATATTTGTAATCTGATCACATGAGATATCTTCGTTTTATGTTGTTCTTGTCCAAATATATCAATATGAAATGCCATATATTATAGCTTAAAGCTTTCGTGACTGCAGGAATTCATATTATTTGGGTCTTTCGGTAAAGTCACGTAGATAGGCTCAAAATGAATAAAAATAAACAAAAAGCCACGACGTTTCGATCGCAACACAAGCGACCTTTCTTCCACCTGATGATGGTCGCTTCTGTTGCGATCGAAACGTCGTGGTTTTTTGTTTATTTTGTTTGTTTATTATTAATTTTGAACCTATTTACGTGACTTTACCGAAAGACCCAAAGAATAAGCGTGCAATAGTTAAGTAGCCATTGCAATTCAATGAGCATGGTTGTAAATGTGTGTAGCATTGTTGGTGGCTGGGGGAGTCATGTGAACCCATCGCATGTAAACAATATATAAACACCTCGCCGCATTCGGAACAGTGTGGGTCGGTGAAAAGAGTGGGGAAAGGTGCAGCACTGATGCCAATATCTCTCACCACTCAAGTTAGCCTTGTCCGGGACTTGGTTTGTCACGTTCCAAGCATGGTGCATGAACTAGTACACCACTGTTTGCCCTCTGACATTTATTTTCCTTATTCATCAAGGAGAGCAACACTGAGTCGTATGAATTTTCAGCAGGGTCCTGCATTGGGGTTTAATTTAATTTTAAGATGTTTTCTGCCAATCAATTGAGCGTTTATATACGGAGAAACCCCACTCAAGCCGGCACCGATAATTATCCGAGCTCTGCAGTCCTCCATATATTAATGTTTTCATCCAATAAATTATTGTATTTACATATGGGAGGAAACCGGAGCTCCCGGAGAAAACCCACACATGCGAGGGGGCAACACTCGATCCCCGTAGAGCTGGAAACAGATGGCGAGTAGTCTCCTCGCTGTGCTTACTTCTCCTGGTGAGCCAGGCTATGGCACCTCCTCCATGCTGATGAGAAGGGAGTTTCACAACATTTGCATGATCCACCTTATCCTTGCTCTTCTGTAGTGCTGAATTACAGGCCACGCATGACATCATCACACCACTCGTGAATTTATTTAAACGCCACCGCAACTATGCCTACGATCAACAAATGATTTCTAATTCATAATTAGTCTGAGGAAGTTCCAGTTCCCAAAACACTAGCTTGCTTATTTTTTCAGCTGCAGTGCAGTGGTGACGTCAATGAAGGTGACATTTTTTGAGCCTGTGCTGCTAAACAACTGCTGTAACAGTACCTTAAAATGTTATTGAAGCCATAGGAATGCAATTACACATCACACCGAGATGCAATGGTGGCAGGCTGTGAGGGTGTTGCAGACACACAGGAATGCGGCAATGAGTCTCGCAAAAGGCGTTGCCTTTTTTTGTTTAACAATATTTCTCCCTGGCTGGAACAGCGAGGAGTTTTGTTTCGCAGATGACGGGGACATTTCAATAGTGGTGGGACAAGCCGGTGACCTCCGAAGGTTCTGCGAGACAGCCCGGCTCACACAACCGCCCACCACTCGACTGAACTGTGTGTGTGTGTGGGGCTACTTGAGAAATAATTACAGGCCAGCTTGCCACTCTCACGGGGTGTGTTGTAACCAAGCCTCTATGCACTTATATTATTGGTTCTTTCGGTAAAGTCACGTAGAAGGGAAATAATAAAATAATAAAAATGTAAAACAATTACATTCTCACGACGTTTCGACTGCAACACAAGCAATCATTATCAGGTGTGAAATCCACAGCAAGAAAATTTGAAAAAAAAGTGGCGTTTTTTTCTTAACAGATGGCGAGTAGACTACTGTGGATTTCAAACCTGATGATGATTGTTTGTGTTGCAGTCGAAACGTCGTGAGCATTTTATTGTTTAATATTTTTATTATTTTATTATTTCCCTTCTACGTGACTTTACCGAAAGAACCAAGAATATGAATCCCTGCAGTCACGAAAGCTTTACATTTCTATGCACTTGTTATGTAGTATTATTGCTACTACTATTGCACTTGTTAACCCAGGAAGGCCTCACTGGAGTCTCAAGATGTTTCTCCTGGCCGATCCTGCCAAACTGAGCAGGAGGGGGGGGGGGGGCTATGTCACTACGCGTAATCCCAACCGAGTAATTTTCGGGTGCATATTTCAGCATTGGGATGTTTGGCTGACACCAGTGAC